CGGCCAAAGTGGTCCCAGAAGGCAGTGCAGCTGTGGAGGGAAGCACTGGGCACCTGGGCAGGTCAGGCAGGCAGGCTCCAGGGAGAAAAACAAAAAAAGATAAGGCTCGCCACTTTTGTTTTCCCTTCAGTGGAGCCTGTTTGTCCAGGCTGCTGCCAGGCTGTCTGCACAGGCTGCCTGCACAGCCCCTGAGCTGCACAGGGCCCGGTGCTTCCCTTCATGGCAAACTAAACCACCTCGGAAATGTTTTATTTTGCTCCGTCCCAAAGTCATTTAACGTGCCCCAAAGTTATTTAATGTGCATTACCTGACATGCATAAACAGCTGCACCTCTAAAGTGAATTACACTGCCAACTCATGCAAACAGCTGTGCCATTAAAATTCATTATGCCGCCGACACGTGCAAACAGCTGCACCATTAAAGCAGTGCAAAAGGGCACTAAGCCGCTTTAAATGCCAATTTTGTGGTGTGTACAAATGGCCATAGTGCCCATCTACCAGGACCACGTAAAAACTCTTATTCAATATGTGGCAGATGATTAAGTGCTGAAACAGATTACTACAGGAAATGGTAGCTTCTCCATCACTTGGTGTCTTCAAGATTGAGTGCCTTTTTGGAAGAGAGCTCATAGTTCTTCAGCTCAGAGCAGGCATGACTGGATGATGTTCCAGTTCCATATACAAGAGGGCAGATTACATGAGCTAAAGGTCCTTTATCTTTCTGATTCAGACCAAATACTTATCTCCTGTCACCCTACTGTAGCCAGGGGACCGTCCTGTTTTTACATTCTCTACTCAGATGAGGCCTCTAAGCGTAAGCACAATAGAATAACAGTGTAGTACAAACACGTCAGAGGTTTGTGTTGGACTGGGAAGACTTTGTGGGTGAATTCCTGGCTAACATCAAACTTAAAGTTCCCATTGATTTCATTGTGGCCAGGACCCCACCCCTTCTCATTTGATGAGTGGTTGTAAGGCTGCTGAGCTCTAATAGGTCTCTGTGTTGGTCACTGTGCAGCCAGGTATAATGAAGGCAGACCACCCCTGGAATAAGAATCGCAGGCTTTGTGCTGCTTATCCTGGGCTCCTGTCCTTGGCTGTGTGCGTAGTAACTCATCCCTAGATCACTGCAGTGCTGCACAACTCCCCTGGGTTTGAATTTACAGGAGTTGCAAGGCTAAAAGCTCACCTGTCCTTTTAAAAGTGCAAGTGGTTCTTGTCAGGCACATTGTGGGGTGGAGAGAGGTGAAAGGGGGCAGCAGCACTGCACCACTGAACAGCAAACAGGTTACACAACCCCCTGGGGCAGTCACACATATATGCACATGCGTGCTCATACACACACACTTTCAGAGGCTAAGTCTATCCCTGCCTGTCAGTCCCAGCTTCGTCAACTGGTGGGTTTCATGTGCCATTCACAATAGATCACCCACTGGAATAAATGCTGCCTTGTACCAAGGGGGCTTCACGCAGCTCGAGACGAGAACCTAGAGCACAGTTCTCCCAGCTCACATCCACCAAGGACATGGTTCTCTTATTTGCTTTATACCAAAGCAGCCCAGTCTGCTAACAGTGTTTCAGCCTCTCCCAGGTCCCTGCAGTGGACAGCAGGCCCAAAGCATATAACAAGGTTATACTGAGGTGCAGAAGCAGCCACAGGAGCCCAGACTGCATTAGGAGCAGGACTAATTGCATTGTAGCCTAATTCAGACATATGAATCTGTCAGAACCGCCATGGATGGAGGATGGGAAACAGACACGGACAGCAGATAGACTCCCCAGATACATTGTGCCTGACCTCCCCTGCACCCTAACCACGTATTACTCTAATCGGTACTTTATTATAGGGGGATCTATTTGTATTAAAGCCGAGTGCTTTGGACCATTGATGTGATAATGCTAACACTGAGAGAGCAAGGTTGGCTTTGGAAGGGAACTGGGCTGCAGACAGTCTGAAGTCACTGCCTGGCTTTGCCACTGATTCCCTCTGATATTTTGGCCACATTTTTGCATCCAAGCAAGGAATCTCTCGTGCCACATGACTGTACAGCATCCAGCACAACAGGTGCCCTGATCTCACCTGGGGGTGCTGCACTTTGGTGCTTTTTCTGTGGTGGTAATAAGGGCAGTAGTGATCAGATCTATTTCCTTGATCCAATGCCAGCAAAGCTGAATTCTCCAGGCTGTGTGATGGGTTGGGTTGGGTTAGAAGAAGCAAAGGCTTCTTCTACCTGCTTGGCTGGGTGGAAAGGGCACTTTGAACGAGCTGTATTTTCTTCAGGAGAACAGACGCTGTTTAGGCATCAGAGCAGTGCATGCTTAGAGCAGCACCATCCTGATGGAGGGTCCCAGCCCCTTGAGCTCCTTGGATTCTGATCCCTGTGCCAGAGCAGACCCGTGTGTTCCCAGTATAAAGGTCAGACCCTGATCCAGCTCCCATTAAATCCTGTCATGGATCCCAGATGTAGTTAGACTGGATACAGAGGGTAAAGAGTGGGGAGGACTCGGGAGTGCTGTTTTGTTACACGCCAACCCTCTGCTGCTCACTAGAACGCAGAGGACAGGTCCTGTCTTAGTCACAGGACCATGTTGCGCAGGTTGTGCTACAAGCTCCCCCCGTCCCTCTCTCTCTGCCTTCCCTATGGTCTCTGCCTGGCAGCACTGTTGTTCCCACAACTTGCAGACATGCATAGTAGTGTCCCAAAAATTCTGCCCTCATTGCACCTACACACTGTACTTGGGGTGGAGACTTTCCCTGCCTCCATCTTGTGCAGGGGAGTCTTTCCTTCCGTAGCCCAGACCTCCATGTTCTGCCCAGGACCTCTTCCTCAAATCCCACTTGATTTCCTTTCCAAGAAATCAGGATCCTGTCTTTCTTTCCCAGTTCCACCCTTCCCACTTCATACTTACCTTCTTCATTGGGTGACTTGCGATTTTTAATGATAACTGCAAGGATCTTTCTGGACATCCGCCTGCCATCCGAATCCTGTTGTCCCACCAGCCCTGTGATGCCAAGCCTGACTGCTTTGCACACTGCATAGAAACCCCAGGGCCATGCCTTCTCGTTTCTGCAGGGGCTGTTGTCTCCCAGATAGCTTCAGCCCAAGGCAGCAAGGATTTTTGTAGCTGAGGAAAAGGAAGTCGCCCCACTCTTGGTTCATTGCTGGCTTACTTCCTGGAGAGTGACTCAGAAGGAGTCCCAAGTCTGGGTTTCTCTAGAGCAGCAATCAAAGCCTTGCCTTTTCTCAGAACAATGCATAGACCTTGTTATGAGCATGCCTCTGGCTGTTAATGCCTCTGATTTCCACAGGTGTGTACTTGGTAGCCGTGTTGGTCTGAGACAAAAAGACATACAAAAACCTAGAATTCTTGGTTCCAAAATGATACTTTTTATTAGACCAACTGGAAAATGGCAAGAAAATTGTCCACATGCATTAGCACCCCCACCCCGCTTAGGGCTGTTAAGGGAAGCTGTCAGCTTTGTTCTCTTCTCTGATACCATCCATTAGCACTCTGGCTCCTTTCAACCTCTTCCAGGGAGAATGGCCATTTTCCTCACACTGTTAGGTTCCCCTGACCTCAGACTAGAAGGGAGAATGTCTGTCTCTTATTAGAGAATCTTTTGTTTTCCCAGTTCCTGTAGATGCTGAACACATGGCCCTAAGTACTGGCTGGTCCCAGAATGTATAAACCCTCTGCCTTTGGTGGGATGCAACTCCATCTCTGCACAAGCAAGCAAATCACTATAAGACTTGCTGGCTAGTGTATGCACCCTTTCTGTACCTGAGCCACAAAAGACAGGGTTATGTTGCTGCCCTCTTCTTCAGAGCCTGCTGCTTCAGCTGAAATGGTTACATCACTTTAGGTTCCCAGTTCAGTCCCTGGTGTAGGCCTTTACATATGTGAGGACTCTCTTGGGGTTTGAGGAACTGTCAGTCTCATGCTGGGGACAAGCTGCCTGTCTAAGAGGTGGTATCTAAGCCCTCCTCTGCCCATGGTGGCCTCCGTTGTCAGCACATCACTTCAACCATAACCCAGAGCATCTATTTACTGTGTTGGGGCTGGCATCCTCTGCACAGTAGCCCTTACTGCTCACCTGACCAAGCCCACTAGTTTCCTTCCATCTTGATATAATTCTTACTTCTGCCCTTATCTGCTGAGCAGAAGGCAGCAGTACTGTAATAAATCGAATGATAAGATTATTCCTCCCTTCTTCCATTGTGCTTCCCACTGGTGTGATGTTATAGGAGCCAAAGAAGGAATAGAGCTCAAGGACACGAAGGGCCAGAGTACCTGTGAATGCTTAGCCTGGTTAGACACCTCTGCCTTGGAGAGGTGTTTCAGGGAAAGCCTAAATCTATGGGCAGTTGTGCTTGTCCACAGCTTTGGTTCTCCTTCCCTTGCCCAGAAGCATGCAGCAGGGCCTATGGTGTAATGGTTAGCGCTCTGGACTTTGAATCCAGTGATCTGAAATCAAATCTCAGTAGAACTGCAGCCTTTAACACTGAGGGGGAATTCGATAACAATCTTCAAATTCCTGAAGGGCAAGTAGAGAGAGGATGGAGATGGGCTTTTCTCTGTGGGTGTAGGGGACAGGACTAGGAGCAAAGGCCTCAAGCTGCAGCAGGGGAAATTTAGGTTGAAGATTAGGAGGAATTTTCTGATTCTGGGGGTGGTCAAGCCCTGGAACAGGCTACCTGGGGAAGCTGTGAACTTTCCATCCTTGGGAGTTTTTAAGAGCAGATTGGACAAACATTTGGCTGGGGTGGTTTAGTCAGGGATGCTCCTGCCTTGAGCAGGGGGCTGGACTAGATGACCTTGTGAAGGTCTTTCCAGTCTTACTTTCCTCTGATCCTTTACCCCAGCTCCACAGCAAGTTCTCCTTGGTGCATACACATTTCTGTACCAAGCATGCAGTGTCAGAGTCAAAGTAGAGTAGGATGATGAAAGCAGGCAGGTTCATGGAAGGCAATCACCTTGGCTTTTATTTCTTTTTCTAGATGGCCCCCATTGAAACTCAGCGCAAGAAGTCCTATCTCAATCTGCCATTGGTAAGTAAGCATCCAGAAGGATGCTTCACATGACTAACTCTTAGGCTAGTGGTTTTGGTTTATTATGCAGATCAGGCCTTTCCCTGGGGAATTTAGGAAAGTGCAGCATCTGGTAGGAGTTTCCTCATAGACATTGGCAGAGAACAAGACCACAATGACAGCACTGTAAGAATGGCCGGACTTGATTAGATTTGCTTTCTAGCCACATCCTAAACCTTGCTATACAGGTTCTGCCTTCAGTCTCATTTAGTCTCATGTCCCCCATCCTGTCATGCTAAATTGGATCTCTGTCTCCATTATGGCACCTCCAGCATTACTGAGTCAAACTTTGGTCCACTTGGTTTCTCTCCTCACTTTTCACCCATCTGATCTCGTGTCCTACTTCCTGTCATACTACCACTTCACTGCTGGGTTTTGTGCCCTCATGTTAGCAGTCACAGTATGGGGGTTATGATCTGGCCAGTAACGGGCCCAGATTAAAGAAATTCATAGACTTAGAGTAATCCATGACACAAAGCCCTGCTTCCCCCTTGCTGCCCAGTACCAAGGGATCCTCTCCCCTCCCAGAGAGGCAGGTTCAGTGGCATGGGGCCACCTCCCCTGCCATGGACAGCTATAGGGTCTCCTCATCTCAGTGGAAGCTGAATGGGGTTAGTGTTTGAGTGGGTGATATAGCCTTCATGGAGAGACTACTACTGGACAGGGGTAATGGTAGCAGCAGTCTTCTTCCTGCCCGGAGCAGTGTTGTGGTTGTGGTGCATGGGGCAATATACTCCTCTCTTGGCCGTGGTTTCAGCCTCTCTGCACACTGAGGCAAATATCACAGTAACAGCCACACAGGTCACTTTTTCAGGCATTTCTTAGGAAACATGAGGGTTAGAATCATCCTTTTCTTTTTTAAATGAGAGCTGAGATAATCATATGACTCCAGGAGCTGGGGCTTCAAGCACAGGTCCTTTAGGGCGTACACATGTATCCAGCTTGCATTGGGTTCACAAGCCTCTTACCCTCAGAGATGGCCCCTTGAGAGACCTAATGGCAAGTATAGAGGTTTGCTCTGCCTCTGCTGATGCTAGGCATACTCTGTCCTCCACCGGGGTTTTCACTCCAGGACCTTTCACCAGCATTTAAGGGCAAAGGCAAAGTAAATAACAACCTGTCTTCTCCTGGCCTTGCCCTGGCCCTGGCCCAGGCTCATGGAGAAGAAGTTACAGCCTGGTACATTATTGATGGGGTGGCTAATTGTGCACTGTGTACAGCACAGTGGCTGTTTGATTAAAAATTCATGGCATGGCCTAAGGTATCAATGATCTCTTAGTTGCTCCAGATCTGAATGTTTCTTAACAAACATCGGAGGAGATCTGAGTCAAGGGACATCACAACTTTAAGCCAGAACAATGCTCCTTAGGACCTCTCTGAGCTCAAGTCCACCTCACAGGCCCTGGCTCCTCACAACGGTACAATGCGGCTATGCTATTCAGGGGAGAGGTGAATCTCCTTTATCTTTGTGGGGATGGCTCCAAGGCTGAGTTGGAGTTGGGGAGCAGGTTGGCTAATAGGCCATGAGTCAGTGTATTTGTGTACAGCTGCAAATCCAGCCAGGCAAAAAGAGGAAGAGCTCAGCATCAGAATCCAAGATGAATGTAACCCCTCACACCCACCGTGATGGATCCCTAATGCTGAAGTTTCCTGTGGCACCATACATTTTGGATTACTCCACTTCTGCCTGGAGGAAAATTGTGTGGAAATCAAGCACTCCCTCAGTGGAGGGATGCCTTGCAAAGAAAGCAGGGAGACTAGTTCTGGAGAAATGCAAGTCAGCCCCCAACTAGTTCCTGACGGAGCATTAATGATGACTATACAGCCTGGAAATATGAACTCCCTGAATGCAGAGAGAATTCATATTGTCCAGACGAAGGCAATAACTAGTGAGGACTAGCAGATGTCATTGGCTGAGGTTTTATGTGTCTGAGCTACAACACCAGCTCCTTTCTGTTTAAGCATAATCATTTGGGCAAGCTCATCTATCAGCGAGTGCAATAAAACAGGAAATTTTTCTTATCTCATGAAATGCATGAACAGCAAACAGCATCACGCAGCCTTTCTTGGGCCTAATGGCATAGACAAGAGGAGGGCACAACCGCTTTTTTGATATGCCCTGTGAGGATCTGGACAGCAAATACCATGATGGAGACATCTCTGGCTATGCTCAGTGAGTAGCAGATTTACAAAGACGGGGCCCAGCCTATAGAGATGTTCTTGGCTCATAGCTGATGTCAGTGGGATCCTACTCAGTGAGTGCATCTACATGAGACACTAACAGTGCAGTAGACTAATTCTATTGCACATGAGCATGGCACAAAACAACCATGCTAATGTGTGAGAGAATTAGTCTACTGCACATTAGTATCACTTAAGTGTGCCCCAGCACTAATGCGTAGTAGTACCGATTACAATGAATTGTTTAGTACCTGTGACTACAGGTACTAAACTTAATGTGCTGTAATTATGGCACATTAATGAACATGTAGGCACACCCACTGTAGGCTGAGCTACAGAGAAATATTGGACTCCATATAAGTGAACGGAAGAGTGATCCACTGCCCCAGCTGCATAAGTTCTTGCTACAGCACACTGCAGTGGGATCTGGGAGATCAAGAGCTTCATGAATTCAGTTCCTCTCCCCACTCACTTCCTCTGAACATCCAAGTCAGAGTCCAGTCACTAAAATGGCCAGCTGAAGGACATCTCATACAAACACACATGCCACAGCTCAGCATCTGCAGTGCATTACTGGAACACCCCTCCAGGACAAATGTGGTCTCCCCTTGATGGAGGTCGCCTGGACAGTACAGGTCTTCTGCTCTCCCAGCTGCCTGCTGCCCAAAGGGTCGGAGGTTAGAGCACTGTTGGACAGTACTGCTGTGAGTTATGAGCTCCTGCTAGATGTAAATGGGCTCGCTGGCCTCACCTTCTGCCTCTGTAACAAGTGCACGCTAATTCTCTGATCTCTTACAGAGCATCTTAAGGCATAAACCATCAGTGTTTGGCATGTGCCTTGATTATCTGGGGTAGAAGGCATTGTGGAAGGACAAAGCAGGCTTATACTGAAGGATAATATAATGTGAGCCAGGGCACAATGATGCTGCATCATCCTCCTTCTTGTAACAGACACTGTCACAATGGGCCCCCCTCAATTGAATGAATGACTCCCTGCTATGGCCAGCCCCAAGTGTCAGGACCATACACTTACATCTCCTTTTCAAATGAAAGCTAAGATTCTTATTTCATCACGTGACTCCAGGGGCTGAGGCTTGGAGAGGAATACCAGATATCCTGAGGATCTGCAGCAGGGCTGTTCATCCCACAGGCTTAACACACACAGCCTGTGAAAATCTGGGGTGTCCTGTAGATTTTCTGGTGAGGCAGCCTCCCCTTGGAGGCCAGTAGAAAGCACTGCTAATTCTGGGAGCAAGTGGAAAGATGTGCGTCTCTCCTGCCTCATCACTCTCCATGCAGTGAACAAGTAGGTGACAACAGGCATTGGAGTGAGCAGCAACGAGAGAGTTACCTGCAACTCAGCCACATCGCCACCAAGGAGAAAGCAAGGAGGTTCATCACATAGAATCCTTTTGCTTTGGGAGGGTTTTAAATGCTGCCAGTTTGGGGCCCAGACCCAGCAAATCTGCAGCCAGGACCAAGGCAAGGTCATAGCAGAGATATGATAAAGGGACAGGATCTGAGCTGCAGAGACTCCTTTAGAACTTAATTGAGTCTTTGAAACATAAGCCGTGCATGTAGCGGGGGAAAAAGCTGAGGCAGCCATAGCAAAGCAAAAGATCCCAGAACTTGGCCTCCAAGATCCAACGGATGGAAATGAGTCTTCACAAGTGTGAGGGGAGCGATAACTTTACTCTCCAGGCCCTGCAGTAACCTCCTCCAAATTGCCTTGCACTTATCTCCAGCTCCCAGCAGCTGAGAACTTACACAGCAAGTGAATGTCAGGCCCAGGGACAAAGGAGGAAAGCAGCAGGTTGAAATGATCTGGGGAGTATGACAAAGTGCAAGGGGAGAAGGGAAAGATGTGGGGGAAGGGAAGCAGAAATCAGAGACCAAGGGATATAGGGTGACAGAGATCAGAGACAGCAGGGTTGGGAAGAGGGGACTGGGGGAGCATAAGATCAGAGTGGATCTGGCAGAGCGGAGATGGAGGGAGGGCAGAGATCAGACGCGGGCCTAGGGGAAGCAGTAATCAGAAAAGAATCTGAACTTGTTCCTCTGCTGGCAGAAGCAATGTGACTGCCCTAAACGGAGGCATGTCAGCCTGTCCACCTATCTGTGGTGAGTTCAGCCGCCCTCCTAGGACAGGGGGCTGCAGGCAGAGGGGCTAGGGAAGGAAGGTTGAAAGGATGCTGGATTTCAGGAAAGGGGCTTCTGGTGCAAGGATTCAGCACGTCAGCTGCCAGTCAGGCCCAAGCCAGGTGAGCCAAGGTGTGTGTCCAGGTGTGTTGCCCTTTCCCTGTTCTCCCTGAGAAGCCCTTCCTGCTTTTGAAGCAGAGCTTGCAAGCATCAGAGCCAGCTCCCAACTGCTGCCAAGGTAGGGAACAGACAGAGGTGATTATTCAGTCAGCTGTCTGGCACTGTCTCACAGGGGGCTCGCCAAGAGGAACAGAAAACTTCCCACCTCCACCAGCATGTGTGAAATTGGTGAGGGGGAAGGAGGTAGGAGAGAGAGGAGCAGGGTGAACTGCTAGCCTCCTGAGATCGCAGGCTGACTCGGAGCTAGCAAGACGTGGGGGCTGAGGCTGCTTTTAGCTCTTTGGGATCATGCAGTTGGCAAGGCCAAAGGAAAAGCTTTCTTCATTGGAACAGGTTTGGTTGTGGAAAGACCAAGCAAAGAGCAGATCAAGTCAAGCCTACTGTTATTCCTAGCATGCTGCAAGATGACCATGACCACAGCCACAATCCTAAACACACGGAGCAAAAAGCCATTGAGCCAGGCAGAGGCAAAGACATTCCCATGCATCTCCAGAATTAGGTGGAGCAGTCCTGTATCAGTGTGATGGGTGGCTTTGTAACACCTTCAATGGATTTCCTGGATTGGACAGGTCGCCCAAGATGATTTAACATTTAGATCTCAAGAACTGCGATGCTAGACTACAGCACAGAGAAGTCTGGGGTCTGTGGTAGTCCATGGTAGAGAAGTTTGTGGTAGTCTGGTCCAGCCAGCTCTATAAGTTGCAGTGCTGGGTTGTGAAGGAAACCTTGGTGATGGCTTCACAGTGAAAAACCTGGGGTGACTTGGCTGTGGTGGATGGACAGGAGAGATGCACTTTGGAGATCAGGCATGTTGCCATCCCAATGGGCCATAGCATGATTTGCTTTAAAGAAGCTTGTGATTCCAGGTGGCTGGCTATTGCAGCTCAGGTGGCCGTCTCTGCATGCCTGGAAACTGCCTTATGGCACTGACAGTGGTAACTCATTCCATGACCTAGCTATGCCTGGGGACCTGCACAACCCGCAAGGGTCACTGGAGGGCTCTGGTGATCCCGCTGCCTGCCAGTGTGCAGAGAATGAGATGCTGTGTATTCACCCTGGCAGCCTGATACAAGGAGCTGGGCACGGACCCAGGGCAGTCTACTTGATGGATTGTTAACCGTGTTCTAAATAGGTTTTGGAGCTTCGAACTTCAGTGAGGTCTAAAGAAGCTCAGGCTTGAGCAGACTGACAAGGGCCACAAATGGGACTGAATTTAGTTTGGAATCCAGGCAGATTTTCTCATTGACTTTTAACACTTCCAAGCCTGGCCCAGAGATTGGTGGTTCCTAGAAATAGAGAAGTGTGGAGGAGACAACTGGGGGAATCCAGTTGAAAAGATATATTGTGATTTTCCTACCGTGTGAGTAACAGAGACAAGCAATATTAGTAGGAGCAGACATGAAGTGTTGTAGGTTTTTATTTGTTCACTCATCCCTTTTTCTAACCCTTTTCTTCTCTTTAAAACAAGATTAGTCCTACCGAGCTGATCTCTTTCTTGTAAATGTTGCTGCAAGCTCAAAGTTGGCTCAGAAATTAAGCTTTATAAACCAGCCCAAGAAAATCCCAGTCAAAATACAACCAAATAGAGATATAACATTCCTGTTTCCAAAGGTCGCATCCATGAAGCAAAAAAACCATTCTCCTGCCTTGTTTCCACTCTAGAGGTTGCAAAACTGAGCTAATTCTAGAGCACCTGCAGATTAAATTGGCTAGAACCAGCTACAAAAGTGTTCAATGACTGCTTCATTTAATTTTCAGTGGCCCTAGTACATAGAAGAGAGGAAGAGAATAAGTGACAAGATAAGCATTGCTCAAAGGGGGAATAAGCACAAAGAAATGTAAAATGCCAGCAACTATAAGCTGGCACTCCTGTGTCCCCCCAATTGACCATCCCCTTTTAAACCAGCTGAAAATCTGACCCTGATGGGATTTCTTTCTTTAACAGAGCGGTGCCCCCTTAGCAAACTGTCCTGTCCAAGACACACAGCCACATGGCTTTGTAGCAGATCTGAGGAGCCCCCGACATTTTTTTCCCCAAAAAATGATGTCAAGCCTGGCTGTTTCAATTTGGCTGCACCTGAATAGAAACAGCCTGCGGGCCTGGCATCCAAGAGTCCAGCATTGCAGGTGCTCATGACCTTTGTTCATTGGGAAGCTGTCTGAATGAGTATGTGGATGCCTGGCTTTGTGGCTCACCCTTTCCTTCCCCACTCCCGTCTCTGCCGGAGCAGTAAGGATGTGCCCTCTACCCAAGATGGCACTAAGGCTGGAGATCCCTCGGAGAGCCTTAGCAGCCACGTTGCTAAGAGGAGCTGTTTGTTGTAGTAACAGCAGCACAGACTCCAGCCCAACTCCTCCTGCCAGCAGAAAGCTTCTCAAAGACTTCTGGCTCCCCCCCAGCTGCAGGCTGCCAGCTCCCCTGTAAGTGTGCCATCCTCTGCAGCCTCGATGCAGGGCAGGGAGGGGTGTCAGAGCCCCCCGTGGTTGGGAGAGAAAAGAAGAGGGCGACTGATCTGCCTCTCAGCACTGGCCTCTGCAGAGCGCAGTGGGTGTGGATGTTTGCAGTGCCCAGCCTCCTGGCAACGAACTAGTTAGCATGGATGGAGGGACCTTGCAGAGCTGGGTGATGCCAGGTTATCTCTGGAACCCAAAGACTTTCCAGGCACCAACAGCAGCAGCCTGAAGGAGCCAGCCACACGGTTCGGGCTGAGCTGGTAGGAGCAAGGGCAAATACATGCAGCAGATGGCTTGGTACTACAGGCCATTCTCCTCGACTGTGAGTATCCAGGGCTGCAGACAGTGAGGGGGAACAGTAACCATCCGTGTGTGTGTGTGTGTGTAGTGAGCAGTGCCAGATGCAGGTCAGGGGCTGAGCACATGCCACTAGCAATCAACCTGACCTAGCTCAGCTTGGCCTATGACTTCATGGGCGCATCTACACAAGATGCTTAATGCACCGTAGCCTAACAGCACTGCACAGTAGCGCATCACAGCATGGATAGTCTTCTTCTTCTTTGGTATGACATTTTAAGATTACAACATTCATAGATTCATATCTAAATGTGATAAGTGTTCAACTGCTTCAGGGGTAGCTGCATGGATTGATTTTAGATTGCCATTAAACGGTTTAATCAGGCGATCATTCACAAGGCGATGCACTGTCTGAAAAATCACACCACAATCACAACCCGGATCTGGGCACAATTGCAGCATGGACAGTGCTAATTTGCTAGTGCACAGTATTATTAGGCTACTGTGCAGTAATGTCACTAAAAAGGCATTTGCCAGCGCTTCTGTGCAGTAACTCTAGTTACTACACATGTAGTTAGTCCTTTATTAAGCAAGTACTAAATTAAATGTGCAGTAACTATGGGACATTAGCGAACATGTAGACACGCGCTGTGTCAACTCTGACCCATCCCTGGGTCCCATTCAGTACTTTGTCTCTGTGCCATCGGTGAGTGGGCATTTAATGCCAGCTGATGCAGTGCCCCTCAAAGCAGAGAAGATGCATGAATCAGCAATCAGGAACATAAGAAGAACGCTGCAGGGAGGCTGCTGGCCACATAGAGACCTTGCAGTTCTCTTTATTATCCATTTTCCAAGCTCACTTGTGCTGCTGATTGCTATCCCCTCTTTCCTGGTGTGAATTCAACATTGCAGCTTCATTGCTGAGCCCTCCATCACACAGACTCACATGTTGAACCCACTTTCCAGGAGTAGGAATGCAACATAATCAAATGTTGCCTCCCCTCAGCTAAATACACTTGTACAGCCTTGGCCCTAAGAGCATCCCAGCAAAGGATAAATCATTTTGGATAGCTGAGGTTTCAGGGAGCCAGGCACATGTTTTTTGTTCATGCCTATACACTGGGGCACATTACCCTACTGGGGTCATGGTGAATGAAAGATAACCAAAGTTCAAGGGCTGGCACTGGATGTCATGCACTGAAGTTAAGGAAACAGAGGCTTTAATAACCATGAAGAAGCAAGAAGGGGTAGGTTTGGAGATATCCTCTACTGGATGAACCGCATAGTTGGAAGGGATATTCTTCAGTTCTTGCTTCTTGCATATTTCCTGGACCATCCAGGCTACGGAAATATTGTTACCCTACTAATTAATAGTGGAGAGGACAGAACTGGGAGCTCTGTCATTCTGCTAACATCAGTAAATTTAGGTTTGGTCTGTAACATAGGGCCCAGCCTTTTCTTGCTCCCATTCCTGCCTCTTCGAGATCTCTATGAGGCCCCCACCTTGCAATGTGGTGACCTTCTGTATGCTCCCTTGCAGCTTTTCCAAGGTGACCTGTCCCCCTCAGACCTGGATGCCTTTGCTGAGCCATTGCCTGATAGCCAGATACACCCATATGAGAAGGTGGAAAAACCTGTCATCAACGATGAGGACAATTACAGTAGGTATGGGCAGCAGTGTCCCAGCTCAGCCTGGAAATCTCTTCATACTTAGGAACCTTTCCCCAACTCCCCCACGATCCTACTTGGACCAGGATACTCATGTCACTTGATCTTATCACTGTTGTGGTTGCTGTTGTCCCCATTACGTGTTATCAATGTGTAGTTATTGTTGAAGTCTCGGGAACTGGTGTGCTGGCAAAAGTCACAACCAGGAGTTCCCAACACCAAAGTCTTAACCAGGGGATCCTAAAGAACGACCATGGGCTCGATTCAGTGGCAAAGATTCAGCCATGCTTATTGTCTACAAGCACAGCCCTAACATGTTTTGGCCTAAAAATACATCTGATCAAGAGTTAAGGCATTTGTACCTGTGACAAGGTGGTCAGCATAGCACCATGCAGGCTCCCCTAGGCTGCTACAAAGTTCCCCTGATTTCCAATTTTCCCTTTATACAGTGTTCAAAACAAACTACATACCATCTGTATCTTGAATATCTCAAACCATCCTGTACCATGGGCTTGTTTCACATCCTGACCTGGGTATTCCTGTTCCAGCCTTATCGTCCTGGTATTGGACTGTCCTGAACTTTATACGGCCATCTTTCTCTCCCATGTTTTGGTAGGAATGCACATATGGCCCACATGCCAAGTTTTTTTTATGAGCAGTTCATGCATCAGTCAGGTTTGCTGGTCAGGCCTACTCTGGCCAATGCTTTAGCAAAGTGCTTGTGTGAGCAGCATGCATACTGATCAATGCTCCAGTGAGGCCTACATTCCCAAGCCGAGGGGTAATGGTAGCATATGAGTTGCCAGGCTGGATCAGACCTTGACTCCTGTGCCAGAAGCTCCAGAGGATGGTGTTATGACTCACAGGGTTGGAAGAAGGGCTATCTGGTCCAAAGCCCTGCATGAATGCCACTTTTCAGTCCTCCCTGTCAATTATCCAGCGTCTTCTTGAAAACCTCCAAGCATGGTTCTCCCACAACTTCCCTGGGCCATCTGTTTTACTGCCTCCAGGATTTTTTTCCTAACATCCAATCTAAATCTGCTTCGCTGTAACTTAAATCCATTGCCTTGCATCCCAACCTCCACAGCAGAGGAGAAAAGCTGTTTTCTCTCTTCCTAATGGCAGTCCTTCAGATATCTGAATACTACTGCATCTCCTTTCCTCCAAGCTGAATATACCCAGTTCCTCATACGTCTTGCCTTTCAAACTCCTTTATCATTCTTTTTGCCCATCTCTGGACCCATAATTTCTCCACAACCTTAAAATGGGGAGCCCAGAACTGTGCACAACGAGAACCACCCGCCTTGGGAAATTACGAAGAAGTCAGCTGCGGGGCAAGTTCCCTTCTGAATCTCATGCTCCCTTCATTTCCATCTTGTGACTGTTTCTTCCTGACAGCAGGAGATGCTCAGGCTGATTCAAGCCCTCTACGCCATGGGCAGTGTCTGTAAATGCGTCTACATGAGACGTTTACTGCAAAGCTGACTAATTAGCTCCACAGTAAATATCTCAGCATCTACATGTGTAAATACAAGTACTGTTCTACTGCGGAGTTGTTTAGTGCGTAGCAACACACGTGTAGATGCTGACACAGCTGGCTAGGGCATGAGGGTGCTTCAGTGTGGGGCCTGCCTGCTGGCTAGCTGCATAGTGCAGCACCCTCATGTCCCCGCCAGCCTCTCCGCAGCACATTGATCTGGGTCAGAGCAGCCCAGGGCTGCTCTGACCTGGCTCAACGTGCTTCTGTCCCAAGCGTGTGTTCAAACGTTGCACCCAGGAACAATACACTCCAAGACGATATGAGCTGAAGTTTATTGCTTTGCATTAATTGCACATGTAGATGTGCCCTGCATCACCACTTTTAGCATAGGGACCACACCTCCCAGGTGATTGGGATTGGACTGGGTTTCTAGGATTCTCCCAGCTAGTTCATAGACCCAATCTGAGAAAGTCGTGTTGCCTCTTGCCACCCCCTGCCCAGTTCTCTTCCCTGCCCCCAATGCCTCAGCCCTGTCAGTTCTGCTGTGCCCCCTCCAACTGCAGTGTGTCCCCCAGCTGCATAGGTAACACTCTCCTACACCAGCCCACCCTTTGCCTGCTGTGTCCTCCAAGGTTTCACTGTCCTTGAGATGGGGATTTTGTTCTATGTTGATCAAAATAGCCCAATCAGGGAGAGACCAAAGGAGGTGCCTTCTCCAGTTACTTCTTGTTCTGATGGATTTGTGAGAGGTCAAGGCAGGTGACTACCAACCTGACCTGTTGCTTTCTATTCTGTAGACCCCAGAACATCACCAAGGAAGACCAAGATCAGGTAAGTGTCTGAGGAACGGCGATGCCTGGTTCCACTCCTAGAAGGACAGCGAGGGTGAGAGGCCAGGGAGGGCCAGGGTCATGAATGTAAAGAGAGTACTCTGTGGAGGCTGCTGACCACAAAAATGGATCTTGCGATCCTCTCCTGTATCTGTCCCCTGGGCTTGTTCACACTGTTAGGTGCCACCACCCATTGCTGGCCTGGATTCAGCACTGCAGCCTCGGTGGTGAGCACTGCATTTTGAAGAGTTACATGCTGAGACCTCTTTCCAGGTGTGGGGATTCGGTGTGATATAATTTGGGTTCACCCATACCTAATTGTGCTTTTAGAGCCTGGAGCCTCAGAGCATCCCGGCCAGGAGTAAATCATCTTGGAAAGCTGAGGTTTCAGAGAGTCAAACATGTGCTCCATGTTCGTGCCTAGAGATTTGGAAACAAGACCACCCCCCCCCACAACCCCTGCTTTGGGTTACAGTGAATCCGAGATAGCCAGGTTTCAGATAACTGGGGCTTTAATATTAAAATGCTTTAATAACCTCCTGAAGGGAACGTATGTTCTACATCCCAGCTGTGTGACCAGTGGAGCATTGCCTGTTGTGTCTAAGAGTTATCCTTGATAAATTAGACACCTGCAAATCATATGTAAATAGCTCGTTTGCATATGACATATGATGTAAATTGATGGCCATTCTGTTTTCCCGTAGTGAACAGGAGCACAAGGCAGTGCATTCACCCAGCACTGATCAAAAAAGGGGCAGGTGTGCTATTTAGCTAGGTTCTTCTATGACTCAACCCTGTGATGTCTGAGGCTCTCTCAGCACTCCTGGGAGGCAAAGTTCTTGCCTCTGTTTAACTGATAGAAAACTGAGTTACAGAGCAGCGAAGTAGCTTTCTTAAGGTCACAAAGAGTGTGTGGCTGAGCTAGAGACACCCTGGCCTGAGGAAAGCTATCACACATGATGCATACCCTCCTGGCATCAACATTTCACCCCTTCTCTTCCAGCATGCATGTGCCAAGTCATGCTGGTGCTTGTGAATCCATGAGGAACAGGGTGTCAGGTTAAAACTCAAGGGGCTGTCAGGGAGTACAGTTAGCACAAATGGGAATTTGCCAGGACATTGGTACGGACCCCTCTAGTTGGCATTGAGAGTGTCTGGTGGGATCTTTGGTGACTCCAAGTGCTCATGGACTTTGGTGTGCATCTCTGTCGAGATGCAGCGTAAGGACCAAAGGGGCCCTGTGAAATGCCAGAGCAGCTGGCCTCATTGGGAACGTAGTGCTGCTTTTAAAACAAGTGTCCTCGTGAGAGAGACAGGGTGACGAGGGGAGCCTCAGAGAGCTGTGTTGGAGGCTTGGTTCAAAGTTATGGGCCAGCTGGAGTAAATATACTGATGCTCACATCAGCTGCAGCTCCAGGTCCTGCCCCCTCCAGATCTTTGGAAGCACCCTACCTTGCAGTGTGGTGACCTTCTACCTGCTCCCTTGCAGTTCCCCGCAAGGGATACCTCCCTCCCGCCTGCTGATGCTGTTGCCAAGATTTTGCCTCTTAACCAGAAATTTGCTTACAAGATGACAGAAGACCGGGGCGTTGGCAGCGATGAGGCCATCAGTAGGTATGGACAGCCGCATCTCACCTCAGGTTGGAAAGCTTTTCACACTTAAGGTCCCTTTCCTGGCTGCTCCATTATTGGCCAACAGCCTCCAGGGCTTGGAGGAGTGTTGCCAAGTAGGAATCGCCAGGCTGGATGGACTCTGGGCCCAGTGTCGTGTGTCTGCCAGTGGTCAGTGCTGGAGCTCTAGAGGATGGTGTGAGAGCCACCCCCTCTAGGAAATCATGGAAAAAGTCACCCATAGGGCAAGTTTCCCCCTGAACCTACTCTCCCTTCATATGAATGTTCCTCATGGTAAGGAGGCCTCCTTGCTGACTCCAGCTCCCTGTACCATAGGCACTGTCTGCACTGCCTTCCCAATGCACCTGTCCTGCATCCGCTTATAATCCCCCAGGTTAGGACAACGTTCTTCAGTCCTGATCTGCTCTGCTGAGCCAAGGGAGTCAGCTGTATGGAAGTGGGCACATCCAAGCTGCTGGACTGTATCCTGGTGTCCACCAATGACAAACCACTGCATTAGCATTAGGGACTGCAATTCCCAGGTGATGGAGTGTGGGCTGGGTCTCTCCCAGCATCCCAGCTAGTGCGTAGGCCTAACCCAGGGAAGTCATGTTGCCTTTTGTCACCATCTCCCCAGCTCTCTTGCACCCCCTAGAAGTCCAGCAATGCTGCCTCCAATAGTAGAGTGCTTTCCCCGACCCCAGCATGGGTAGCACCCTCCTGCTTCTGAGCTGGGTCACACTGGGGCACCCATCTAGCCCAGCCCACCCCTCAACCTCTGTATTCTCCAAGGTCTGCACTATCTTTGAGATACATGCTTTGTGTTGGGTTGATCTAAATAGCCTAAGACCAGCCTGTCCTCCACTCCCCTCCCCTCCCCTCCCCAGGGCACCGGGAGACCAAGGAAGGGGACTTCACCAGTTATTTCTTGCTCTGACAGACTTGTGAGTGGCTAAGAAAGGTGACTCCAACCATGACCTTTTGCTTTCTGTTTTGTAGACCCCGGGATGTCATCACGCACCAACAGGATCAGGTGAGTGTCTGAGAAATGGGGATGCTTGTTTCTTTGCCTAGAAGGGCTGTGATGGTAAGAAGCCAGGGAGGCCAAAGGAAAAGCTGGAAATAAGGGCAAATGGGCCTTACAGACCTGGTACAGCCCAGCTCTCACTGATCAAACCAGGGAAGGGGTGAGATGGGCCTGGGAAAAGTTCCCCCCTGTGGGTTGGACCTCTTGAGGTCCCTTCCAGTCCCACTTCTCTATGATTTTATGAAATGAGCTGCCTGACCATATGGGGCTGGGACAGCAATGTTGGCCCAAACCCAGTAAGAAAATTGCTGGACTTCTGCGGTGCATAGTTGCATGGATTGGCAGGAGTCCTGTTGCTTATTTATGACTACTGGCTGCTTTGAGTTGAGCTGGAATGAGCATTTACAACCCAAATAGCCTGGCTGTCATCCAATTGCCAGGCCCTCTTCCATGTTGTGTTGCTTTTGCCTGATTGTTGCAGGGAGGGTTCAGTGAACTGAATGGAATATTATAATTCACCAGGACAGCCCTGAAAATAGGACAGTGTTCTGTCGATAACCTAGACGAGGGTTGTCTAGCTGGTAACCCTTGGGCTGCATGCGGCCAGCAAGGGGTTAACATGTAGCCATCAGGCTCCCACCCAGCTGCTGCTGTCCCCAGGCTCCCACCTGGCCACTGCTGCCCCTTTCACTCCAGCTGCAGCAGCTAGGGTCTTGGAGCTCCCCCTCTCTTCCTGCCCACCCCAGCCTGACCAGGGGAGCTAGCTGCCTGGAACAGCTGTGCTGTGTGGTCTCATGGGAGAGCCCACAGGGACCTGTATGGGAGTGAGGATGCCCAGTGGGGTGGAGAAGTGCCAGCCTACCCATGCACTTGGTGCAGCCTTGGGGACCCATGGCCCCTACTAAAGCAGCCCCTACAGTGTGTACCTCCTGTTGGCGCAGCTCATGGGGTGTGAGACCCCGCAGATGCTTAGAAACTGGACAACCCTGACCTAGAACGAATTAGCTTGACAGCAGGCAGGGCTGGGCTGTTGTTGAAATGAAGGCCTGAAGTTTCATGTCGGGGCTTGGTCCAAACCTTACGGAGTTAAGTGAGGTTTTTCTACTGACTTTAGCAGGCTTTTTTATCAGCCTTTCAGAACAGCTAGTGCAATATACCTGCTGCCCCGCATATGGATGCCAATAAATAACCTACGAGAGCAAGGGATGGGATAGACCAGTGGCACTGCCTACAAGAAGCACATGAGTTCATCACCAGCCCTTCCTAAAATTGTAGTAACCTTGTCATCGACAACGGTGCACAAAAAAGGACACAGATGTGGAAGCTTTGGATCTCACTCCAACAGGGACCAAGGAAAAGAGACTAATAAATGAGAGGGGTAACCCCACTCTGGGCTGGGATTCACGAGATGTGGATCTAGGCCAGTGATTTTCAACCTATAGTCCACAGAACCCTGGGTGTCCACAGGCTATGTCTAATGGGTCCACAAAAGATAACTATGATCAATCAAAAGTATGTGAATACCCACATTTACAATTCAAAGGGCTCTGCACCTCCATTTGAAATATTGTAGGGCTCTGCAAATGAAAAAAGGTTGAAAACGGCTGGAAAAGATAAAGTGTCTCGGCATTTACAATGAAATGCTTCTCTCTGCTGGAAAAAAATAGGAATTGCAGGATCATCCTTCAGGATTGATCAGGAAGGGAATTTTGTTGAGCTACCATGAACCAGGATGTTTTGTTGCTTCACGCACATTCATGCTTTTGCAAGATTTTTCTTTTCCCCTCTGAAATGGACTAAACAAAAAAAAAGAAAAGAAATTTCTCTTGAAACGCCCTTCTGAAAAACAAATGTATTTGGGGTTGATTGAAAGAGTTTTCTCTGATTGTTTCCACTGACCTCAGTTGAAATGAAATGAAAGGTCATTTTGAAATGGAAAGTTGAGATGCTCCATTCCAGAGAAGTGGAAATGGTGCCCTTTGACCTGGCAGATTTGCTTTTTTTTTCAGTTATTTATGTTGCAACAACCACCACTCATTGCAATCACTACCTTTCCTCAAAATGTTTTGCTTTTGATCAGTCAAACTTTCTGATGGAAATTGTTCCACCGGACATTTATTTTCACCAGCTTTTGATTGCATGGCTGCTGTCCCAGTCAACCAAGTATATCATCTGATACAGGTCAGCGAGGGCTTATACAGAGGCTGGTGGAATTGTGTCTCAAGGAAAAGTGGGTGTTGTTCGGGGGAAAGGGTAATGGTCTGAAGGCGCATCCTGCTCTTGTAAGCCTCATTGCCCCAGGACAAAAGATTTCTCTATTTTAGAAGAGCAACCAGTGAATGTGGTATTGTGCCTTATTTTGGATTTGGGGAAGTGGGAAGTAACTGAAGAGTCAGGGAAGAAAGAGGAGTAACAGAAAAGTCAAAATAGCTAGTCTGGCTCTGTGTCGGCTGTATATGCTTGAGTCTGACTGTCTTTGGTAGGGCAGATCTCAACTTGGGAAAAGAAAAGTCTCTTGCACCATTTTTCAGTTGGGGGCAAGGGAGATCCCCTTAAGTTGTCAGTTGTGGTAAGGGATTGAAGCTGTAGCAAAGCTGGTTTAGTTTGGAGAGCAGGAAAAAACTTCTTCACTGTTAGAACTGTGAGGCAGTGGAATCAACTGCCTAGGGGATTTGTGGACTCCTCATCACTGGCGATGTTCAAGAAGAGGTTGGGCAGCCACTGATCAGGGATTTCATAGATTTCATAGATTTCATAGACATCAGGGCTGGAAGGGACTTCGGAAGATCATCGAGTCCAGCCCCCCGCCCAAAGGGCAGGAAGTCAGCTGGGTCATAGGATCCCAGCACGATAAGCATCCAGTTTCATCTTGAAGGTGTTCAATGAAGGCGCTTGAACCACCTCCGGTGGCAGGCTGTTCCAGACCTTGGGGGCTCGGACAGTAAAGAAGTTCTTCCTTATGTCCAGCCTGAAATGATCTTGAAGTAGTTTGTGACCATTCGACCTCGTCATCCCTTGGGGCGCTCTGGTGAACAAACGTTCCCCCAGATACTGGTGGTCACCCCTGATAAACTTGTAGGTGGCCATCAGATCACCCCTGAGCCTGCGCTTTTTCAGGCTAAAGAGCCCCAGGGCTCTCAGCCTGTCATCATAGGGTCTGCTTCCCTGACCTCTGATCATGTGCGTGGCTCTTCTCTGGACTCTCTCAAGCTTCTCCACGTCCTTTTTGAATTGTGGAGCCCAAAACTGGACGCAGTACTCCAGCTGCGGCCTCACTAAGGCCGAGTACAGGGGGAGAATGACGTCCCGGGATTTGCTTGAGAAGCATCTATGGATGCAAGCCAGCATTTTGGTC